AATTCTGTGTTTCCGCGTGTTACACGGATTGTACGATGACCTAACGAGGCCTTCAAAGGGAGCGGAAGAGCGCGGTAGCAGTCAAAGAGTTAAAGGGTAAAGAAGTCCAGAGCATAAAAGCTCTATAAGCACACAAGTCTAAAGAGGTGTGTGTACACGTCAGAGACCAAGAGCAACAGTGTTAAATTACACGTTTTTATAGCAAAAAGTTCTTTTTTAAAATATACGTGCAAACGTTATTCATAGCCACTTTCTCACCCTATGTAAACATCGTGGAACATTTATACGGGTCACGTTTATCTAGAGTCGGCCAAACGTTTCGATATTGTCAAAACTCTGGAATTGAAAGGAGAAAACAAACGAAATTCGTATTTGCGAGAAATGGAACATTTTTAACAATTTTACTGCCAGTTATAACTAGAGAAATTAATTCTTAATTTGAGACGTCGAGGGAAATAAATTTGAATTTTGACATGGTTGCAAAATTAAGTTCACAGTGGTCTGAAATCAAAATTTTAGTCTACTAAAAAATTTTATGGTTGATACTGAAAAGTGTGCGTTAATTAACACTAGAACTACCAAACCAGTCAAAATGGCCCATTCGTAATTTCTAATAAAACTAGCAAAAAATTTACTCGACTGAATTTTTGAAAATTTATCATGATTTTCTATAAGAGAATATATAAACACTTATTTCCATTGCATTATATATTTCTTTGGTACAAATAAACACACTATATTTGTCGGTAGTTCTAGTGTTAAATACGCAAAGACGCGGTAGACGAGGCAATTTTCGACAATTTCTGTCTCGAAAGTTCGTCGATATCGTTGAACCTCAAACCCGTAACCTATTAATAAATCCTCGACAAAGTGATACGTCAACGCGGGCATCAAAAACAGCTGAAATGTCGAGCGCCCGGCTAGTTCGTTCGATTTTCACCGTCGGGGGTTATCTAGCGTTTATCCTTTGATCTTTGTCAGCTGTCTACGATCGTCGATGCATTCGCATCGTGCGTCCACATATTCCCCGGCACGTTTGCGACCGACTCGCGTGTCCGATGTGTACGTAGATGGACGGGTGGGTCGGTATAGGCGAGCCAGAACGGTCTGGCCCGATACCCTGTGTAACCACTTGGACGATCGGTTCGTTTGCCGGCGCCGAGGGTACAGTCACCCCTGGCCACTCTTGCCAATTCTAGTCTAACCTGTGCTTGCCCCTTCCGCTGCTCGAGACTCTCCTATCTGGCAATTAAAGGCAACCCTTGTGCGATCGAGACACACGACACGTGCATCGACACGTACCACGGGGGTTTAGACCAGCCACGGACACACGGACACGGGAACACGGAGGCACACCGGGCTGGAGGACGAAACCCGCGGAGAAGAGATTTAAGGACTGTCTTTCTCGCTGCCGGCCCGATAGACGCTCAGTGACGCGTTAAAGTAGACTCGACCCGGACACGCGACGTCGAGGAGACGCTGGTATTTGTGACCGAACCCACTGGGCTCGTATCGTTTCCCGCTGAACGAGAGACGATATCTTTATCGAGTCTCATCTATTAATTCGGTAAAATATTGATTTTTTTTCCAATTTGTAAGCTTCGTGGTAGAAGGCACGCTGAGTAATTTTGATAACCTTCGTAAATATTTTTCATATTTTACAGGGCGAGGTACACATTAGTTCCTACGATTTTTCAGCCCTTTGGGTCTGACAAAAAAATGTTTCAGTTTAACCGACAAGAAATTGATGTCTGCTCAAATTGAAAAATAAATTGGCTTTTGATATTTAACTTCACGAGAAAAATTGCCACAATATTTGAAATTATTCGGCATTTAGACGTTTACAGTTTACTGAGAACACATCCATTGGAAAAATGAATAGCGGAAAGTAATTTTTAGTGACGAAGAAGAATTTACACTAGATGGATAGGATGGATATCGATCTTACTTTCACGATTTGCGTAAAGAACCACAAATTTTATGTCATCGACAAGGTGGTGAAGGAGCAATTGGATACCATGGGAAAACTGTAATTAAGTTTATAAATAGAAAAATAGAAAGTTCTAATTACATTACGTTAAGAAATTTTTTACTTGGATATCTTCAGTTTTCCTCGATATGATTCTTTAATTCCTGAACGATCTGAAATTGTCTTAGCATATACTAATCTTGATAATTGTGCTCATTAATTTTTAATCATTTTCAAATCTGGTGATCTGGCTGGTCATTCTTGGCGTATGAACACTTGCATTATCTTGTTGAATTAAAACATTATTTCAATCTCTGTCAAATCGTTTACTAGCAGTGATACAAACAATAGGTGGAGCAATAAAATGTTAAAATAATTTTGACGTACCAATTTTTAATTGTTTTTCCATATTGCAAAATAAAATTTGTGGCGTCGCCTCCCATGCTTGCCACCAGAGGGGTCGTGCTCTCACAAGCGCTCGACCGACCCCTCTAGTTCTTTTTGAGAATTAAAATTCCCTATAAATGCACAAGCATCGAAAGCAATGCAATATATTGTTTCAAAAGTTAACAAATTTTATTCTTATACAGAGTGCTATCTTTTTGTCGCGAGGTATAGTACCATATAGGCAAAAATATGAGATGTAATTTCCTTTGTCTTCAAACGAGAAACGAATTACTCCATGTCGATATGAATATTAGTTTTCCTTTCATCCCACGGATAATTAACATTTCATTAATATTTGACGCACGTCCGCGAAATCCTCGAACCGGACAGGCCTCGGCGGGAATCACACTGCGACAATATGGGGACACGCACCAATAAGTAAACATTACACGGTTCCCGGGCGCGAGCGTGAATTTGCGGAAAATTAGCCGTTATGCATATTGATACGGTTGACGCGTGTGCTAATACCCGAATGCACATAATTATACGATTATTTCGTTTCCCGTTGGCGCTTTTAATACTCGGGCATTCGGTGAACTACTTCGAGCCAGGGATCGCTTATTCGTGCCTGTTCGAGAGCCACGCTCCCTGACGGATACTTTTCGTCGGGTGAAATCGATCACGGTTGCGTCAACACAACCGTGAACATCTCGGATAAACAGTTTGGGGGAAAATAAATATCCCTAGGAAACCTCAGGGGTCGCGAACTCCGTTTGCACAGGTTTTTAAAGAATTCCTGTGCTGATCGCGCGTAAGAAGAAAACGGTGTTCGGTGTGTTCGGTGACGAAATATCATTTCCAAATTATTTAAAAAGAAAACTCGTAATCTTTCGAGATCCATTTGCTGTATTATAATTTTTCCACTGGACAGAGTTTAACGCGAAACAGAATTGGTGATATTTCGACGCTAAATCGGGCGGATAGAGTAGACAAGGAGGAACATTCCAACCTTCCAACCTTTCCTATAGGCTAATTCAAGTCGTTTCTCTTTAATTGCAGTATTTAGTTGTTCTAATTGCAAAGTAGGTATATATATAGGTATAAATGTATGGCACGTTTATCCGCGAGGAGCTCGCGATGCAGAATTTCCTTTCCAATCCCATCGCACGCAAAGCATAATTTTCTTCGCATTTTCCCACGACAAGTTTTCTTTTCTCGCTTGTTAAACAGATTCGACAATTATAAAAGCGTGCGACGATACAGTTGAAAATAAATTTGTATGCACGCGATAGAGAGCTTGGATTTTAACGCGAGTAGAAACAGCGAGTAATGGTCGGACCTACCATATTTTATTCAAGAATTATGTTTCACGTATTCGACTTATAATTTTAGATAGAATTTTAATGACGGATTCTAGAGGCCAAAATAAGACGAAAATCAAGAATACCAATTTGTTGATGGAGGCTTCATTAGAAAGTTATTAACAATTAAATTCAAGAATTTCAAATCGTTCTCGAAAAATTATTTTCGGTTGCGGGGGTCAATTACAATCATTTTTGGTGAATAGACATACCTCCGAATTCCTACGCATTTTCGAGAAAAACATTCAGTACGGACGGAACTTTAAATGTTAATAACTTTTTAACAAAGCCTCCATCAAGAAATTGGTATTCTTGATTTTCGTCTTATTTTGGCCGCTAGAATCCCCCATTAAAATTTTTCCCAGGCATGATCGAACACCCTGTATAGTCGATCACGGGTTAAGGAATGGTTTGCTTCACTATCTAATTAGCAATCCTGAAAGTGGATAACGAACAATAAACTCGAACTTCTATGGGAACTGAATAACAATATTTAATTTTAAACTATAAAGATGGAAGGGAATATAGGAAAACGTCGTTGATTGCTCGAGGTTGTTCAACGAACGAACGCAGCAACGTTTTCCGAGCTTCTTTCTAGCGGAATTCACGCTCGAGTACGAAAATAATATCGAGACTCTGGATGTTCTCGCGAGTAAACGGTAAACTGAGCTCGTTGTAACCCGCGGACCATTACGAACGAGGAAACTTACGCAATTTCTTCGGTGACAGCGCGGACGTCTCGTGCAATCAACGAGTGAAAAGTCGACTTCTTCGAGGTTTCTGAATAGAGAAACGGAGTGTTGCAGCGGGCAGGGAACTCGGTACGCGATAAAAACGTGGGGCAAGTTTTTGTAATAGCGAGTTTACAATGACCGACAAGAAACGGCCTGAACTTCCCCGGTCTGATTAAATGGAAATCTTGAACGCGCTTACCGTTATGAAGACGCGCGTACAGAAAACGTCGCGGTCCTTTTACGTTCGTATTCAGTCGAGGAGTTCCGGATTATTTCATTTCGAGTAAACGACTTGGCGCGGGAACGATGTTAAAAACATACTAACGGGGACGAAATTTTTCCGCAATTTTTCGACCACCGCCCGAGAAAATGTTCCTTCACAGGATTTAGAATATTGTGTCTGCTCTCGTCGAAATAAATCTCTTATTCGTAATCATTCATATAGCAATGGATTCGAACAGAGTCGCGTCGAGCATCCCAGAAATTCGATAAACAGCAGTTCCCAAAAATTTCATTCCTGGGATAAAAAGTCGTGGAGGCGTTACTCACCACTCTGTCCCCGAGATACTTTACGAAGCAGCTCAATTCTGCTGTTTGTCCAACGATGGCAGTGACATTTCGTGGCGTGATGTCGTCGAACTCGGGTTTATTGAAAGGATTCGTCGGCTTGCTTCCAGCGACTACGCTTGCCAGGCTCGAGCCACCTGAAAGCAAATAAAGGAAACGCTATTAGAGGAATTATCCTCTGAATACTATCAAAATTTGCACTTATTATATTAATTGTTTTTGAGGTAGGAGGGGTTCAAAAAACAAGGAAACGATAAATAATTATAACCGTTTATTTCACGCATGCCTTGGCGCCATCTTAAAACAAAACGCTACGCACGACAAAACTCGTCTGCTGAATTGTCACTCAGCCCCATTCACATTGGTCTTCCAACCGATCCGACATTAATCCTATACATATTTATATTACTTATACCATATAAGAATTCTCTCAATTAACCACTTAATGTACAATTTAATTCCAAATGATTTTTTAAACTTACAGTATTTAATTTTGTTCAAATTTGTACAAGGAATGACCACGAAAAAAAATAGCTTTGTTCTCCGGAATAGTGAGTCAGACTGGTCATTGCACAAAGAAGCGTAAACACAATTACAGTATAGAAACGATGGAATATCTTATGCAAAATTAAGGTTCTAATAAAGATGTCTTAGTTTAAAATGTTGGAAACCTTCGTAGGATTAAATCTAGTGGAATTTAAGTTCGAGACGAGCCTCGAAAGTTTTCCACAGTCTGAGTTGCGAGCAAAAATCACCAGAAAGAGGATGATCTTTGTATAATGCTTGAAACGCAACGATAAATTGCAGAATCGCGATGACGGAATGCAAATGGGGCGAGATTCCACGGAAACGCGTAGTAGTGACTGTGTTTCTCGGAATCAAAGCGAGTGGGATGAATATGGAGAATCTTGGAGCTTTGGGTCGAAAACGAGGTTAGGCGGCCGCCCCGTGCCTGCAACGACGAAAGTTCCGTCTCGAGTGGACCCGAAAGTTGTTGCTCGCGAGCACCGTAGACACAGGTAATTCTAATAAGTATTTGATTAAGGGTGAACTTTCGGTAGTAGCAATGCGTCATGGTATTATGTATGGTCGTAGTGCACAATCACGGTTAACGTTCATGAAATACCGCGTTACCCGAGATGGGAGCACCGACGCCATCTTCTTTGATCTCCTCGTTAATGCAAATAGTTCGCGAACTAATAATTCGGGGAACGCAAGGCCTCCTCCTATGGCATGTTCGCCGTTGTTTCCGCCTTTGGTCCCATTGACCTTCAATTTGAACGCGCGAGAGGGATTCAAGGAATTAACTTTCGCTTTAAACTATGTAGAACTGGATCGTTAAATGGACCGAGTCCTCCTTCGGCTTTAGAATTAGATAAGTTGACGATCCCTGGCAGAATAATTTCTATCGAACGAAATGATATGAACAGTTTTTGAGATGCAGAATGAATAGGATGGTTAAAGCTTTCGTATTATTGTTCATTTAAACCGTTAAATGCAGTATGGCGTCCAACTAGTTCGCGTCGTATTTTGAAACGATTTTGAAATTACAATTCAATCCGGTAATCTATTTTTATGTACTCTGCCGTGATGATCTGCTTCAAACTACAAAGACAATTAATTTTTGAAAATAAAATACGTTCGTAGAAAAAAAAACGTACATAGCTATTATCAAACGGATATAAAACGCATTCCAGTGATCCTAGTATAATCCAAAAGGTGGTGGAAGATTCTACGTGGAAAAATGAGTCGAAAATGTAGAATAATATTTTTCGTACGAGGGTTTGTTTTTTGAAAAAACTGATGTTGAAAATTCATCGGGTATTTGTAGAATGAAGTACGATTTCCACTCCAGCCAGTAGAAATATCACGGACTGGTCAGACACGTATTAAATCGCATTCCCTATAATCATGATACAATCGAGAAGTTGGTGATTCTATGGAAGAACATTAGTTGAAAATGTAGAGAATAAACTTTGTTCGTTCGATGCTTTGTTTTCGAGATAATCGAATTTTAATGTCGCGTCCGACCATACCTCGATATTTCTACTTACGTTGGCGTCCTACTTGTAGAAAGTGAATTTTCTCGAAAACAAAGCCTCTTGTGTGAAAATGTTATTCTACATTTTCGACTTGTCTTTTACGTAGAATTTTTCATTTCCTATTTTGGTTGCACTATAATTCCTGGAACACTATCAAAATATAAAGAATCGTATTAAAAATAATGAGTCGTACTTCGATGGTCTGGGAATCCACATACTTTGAGGTATTTTTCCTTGTAAAAAATATTGTGAACGCTCGATATACAAGTAAATATACATATATGTGGAATATTTTCACTCCATCTTTGGTTGTACTACAGTTGCTAAAACACTTTCTATCAAAATATTAGGTCATTCCATAAGTTCGTGTTGTTCGATATTCTGATACTAATAAGGACAAAATTTGTAATTTAATAGAAAACAAACAATGTTTGTCAGTTCAGGGCATTTCTGAAATTTTAGACTAACATCAAGAGTACATAAAAATTTGAAACGAATAGAAATTGTGTCAAAGCTCGAAGTTTGGACTCCTCACTGGCTTAAGGAACGACATTTTTTGATTACATGAATATTTTTATTAGCATATAATAAAACCGAGTGTAATACAAAATAAAATACAACAATCTCCAGGCTTATTAGTGAATAAACAATTCCAAAATGTCAATGTTTAGATGAAAAGCGTAAAACTACATTTTAATACAAAATTAAAGAAGTTTAGTATCAAAGATATAATGGCTTTGCCAAAGTAAGGTTTACTGTTTTCTATAAAATTCCATTATATGTTTAAAATTTTGCTGAAAGTTCAGCATGATCACATATGGAAATAGCTAATATTTATTGGAAGGTAAGTGAGATTTAAATTATGCTTATTAACATTATATCCCTGGTATTGTATATTTTAAATGCGACGCGGAATCAGCGTACATAACAAAACGTTTGTCCACACCTAGAATTACGCACAAACAAGTGGAATAACATTTCCTAACGATATCGCACGATTCTCTGCCATACATTAGCCGGCTTTGAAGTTCGATCGTCCTGTATCCGTTTCGATGACGTTTACTTCGTTCGCCACTGTGTCACTGCGGCACTGTAATTTCAGCGTAAATGAAACTTCAACGCCGGTCGGATTAAACAAACGATAATGTTCGCAGGCGTCTAGCGTCGCTCGCGTTTGGTTTGCTACAAAGTAATTGAAAGCCAACGCTATTCGAGTTTCCACCTGGTCGCGAAAATCAGAAAAATCAATAAAGTGCCATTTTTGGCTGACCGTTACTTCTTTCAACGCTATGATTTTCAAAACCCCCCCCGTATTAAAACATTTCTCTTTCAATCTGTAAGCATTAAATCCGAAACTCGTTCTGTTATTCGATTTCCAATATTTTGATTTAAACAAAAACTATGCTGGTTCAATACGCGAACCGAAACCGGTGTTACAAACGATGGGCCCTAGAGTCTTCTTTGGCGCTGTGATTTTCAAATCCCTTGTATTAAAACATTTCTCTTTCAATCTGTAAGCATTAAATCCGCGACTCTTTCTGTTATTCAATTCCCAATGCATTTTAATTCAAACAAAAACTATGCTGGTCCAATACGCGAAACCAAACTGGTGTTACAAAAGGTGATCTCCGGAGTCTTCTTTGACGATATGATTTTTAACCCTTTGACTGCTAAAGGCGTATATATACGCTTTCACAAGTCTATCAATATATACGAAAAGCGTAAATTTACGCCCTCTGTATTTTTTTTACTATAACACCTTTTACTGTTTTACCAATTGATTCGATATGGAATTGGATAAAAATTGGATATTTTAATTTATTTGCATTTATTATTTTTTTAAACCGTAAGAATGGTCTCTTAAATCTCCGGGTACTTTTTTGGTCACCAGTCGCAGCGACAGGCATGTGACGATCGCGCCATCGATGTTGATGGATTCTTCCTAGGACGCGCCGTAGTCAAAAGGTTAAATCCCTCGTATTAAAATATTTTGTGGCGTCGCTTCCCGTGCTCGCCACCAGAGGGGTCGCGCTCTCACAAGCGCTCGACCGACCCTTCCTTTCCTTTCTTGCCTCCTACGAATCTCCCGAGATTCAATCTATAAGCATGAAATCCGTGACTCGTTCTGCCATTCAATTTCCAATGCATATTTTGCTTTAAACAAAAACGATGTTAGAGAAGGTAGTCTCCGGAGTCAGCAACGATTCCATCCAACTATTTCTATCTATGCTATCGGTGAGCACTATCTCTTTGGTCCTCGAGTGGTCTCCAGATTTATATGAATCACTCGATTTGCCATTAACCAGGATTTCGTCGATCGTGGAGATGATAGAGTCGCCATTAACATAATCCCACGATAGTGGGTGGCAATGACGGAAAAACGACGGGGGCGTCGTTCGGTCGGCGCAGGACCCGCACAAGGATGAAACAGAACAGCGCTCGATAAAATTTCCCATTGTATGTCGGGGCAAATGGGATTTCGCTCGTACAGAAATTGATATTGTTACGAGGTACATGCGAAATTGTTGGAAATCGTCGGGATGATATCCAAACGGTATCGATACGCGCTTCGAAGGAACGCGTCAAAGGGATTGGCAGTCGATAACGAACCGCCGAGCCTGTTGTCGTGAAATTAATTTACCGTCGCCCGATCGCAGCCCTCGTAACGATCACGGTGGCTCGTTACTTTCGGAAAGGGCGATTTAACGGGAACCGATTTGAGGTATCCGGGAAATGGGAAACCTGTAAGCGTCGACGCATCCTGCAAAAACGACAATGGAACGGACCATTGAGCGTCTCTCTGCCAGAAAATACCAAGATCCTCGAACACGTACGACTTTGACGCGTTTAAATAAGTTTGCCTTCTACTCTCCTCCGGTGGTCGATCCGTCAAACGCGGTTCTTCCACGGGCCTCCTCCGTCCGAGGAAGCAGGAAGCATCGCGAAAAAAAAATATTCTTCCTCCGCCTCGTTTATTCAAATTTATTCAAATTCGAATTTATACCCACGAGTATCTGCCGCCACGGTGGGTACATGTACCGGTGCCGTCGATTTAAATACGGCCTCTCGAGGGCGGGGAAAATCCCGGGAAAATC